TAGATAGATAGATAGATAGATAGATAGATAGATAGATAGATAGATAGATAGATAGATAGATAGATAGATGAATTTGATTGTCTATCATATTTATCTATGATCTATCTATCTGAATAGATGAGAGAGAGATCTGGATGGATGGATGGATGGATGGATGGATGGATGGATGGAATGGGAGAGAGAGAGAGAGATTTCAAGGAGGAGATCAGACCAACCCATTAAGGATCCTGTAGTTCTAGACACCGAATTTGATCCATCAGGAGTCCCAACACTCTACCCTACAGTGGGGAGCAATGCTGATACCAGTTCTGTGGCCTTCACATCCCAGCCTCAGTCTGCCTTGTTGGGTGGTGTCGTTTGTGTGCCTGTAAATATTTGAGGTGAAGGCACCATGGCCATGTTAAGTACCTGGATTTTTTTTTAATAAGCATCGATTAGAAGATCACCAAGAAGTCCATGGCAGCATCTCGAGAGCTTCCACCAAAGGTCTTCCTCCCGCAATTGAAAGATGATGCTTAGGTTATCTTCTCCTCTTTCTCCTGCAGCTCCTTCAGCAGTGTCCATCATGCATCAAGTGAGCCGGACAGTGGACAGCATCACCCTCTCGTGGTCTCAACCGGACCAGCCCAACGGGGTCATCCTGGACTACGAGCTGCAGTACTATGAGAAGGTATCAAGGAGGAGGTTGGGGGCCCAGGAGTTGAAGATGGTCCATATCTGAATTGTGTCCCACGCAAGGAAGTCCTACCTTACTCCTTTTCCCATGGTTCCCACCATCACTGATAGGTGGTGATCTCTTCCAGGAATGGCTGGGCTGCTTAACCATACGCGCATAACTTCTCTCTTGAGTTGATCGCACAGGGACTGTAAGGCCCTGCCCACCCCTCCGTGTCCCCTCCTGCGGCGTGTTGAACATGGTTACTGAATTAATCCATTTTCTGGGCTTGCACAATACATCGAACCATAAACTAACCATGTCATCTGGTGGGGAGAGGGGAGGGAGGGAGTAACCATGTGTGAAATTGACGTGGTCCAGAAACAATGAACACAGTAAGAGAACGGCTGGCTTTGGGGAGGCTCAAAACAGCATCCTTTCTCATTCAACCACAGAGGAGGCTTTTATTATCAGGGGCACCCGCAGAGGGGTCAAAAAAGTCAAGATGGTGGCCACGACAGTGCCATCGATGCCCCGCCCCTTTTTACACATGTAAAAGGGGCGGGGCGTCAACGGCACCATCACGGCCCCTTTTTGTGATGGATTAAAGCAAGAATATATTTGTCAGGGGGGTGAGGAAGACTTCTCCCTTGCAGCGAGCAAATAAAACGTGGATGTGGGTGAAGGGGAGGATGTATTTTTTAAAAAAGGCTAATTAAAACTGTGCTTCAAAGAAGCCGCCAACACCCTCTCCATCTGAGATTAGAAAAGCTGAACATTCGCTCAGTGACCTATTTTCAATTGCCAGGAGGAGAAAATGCAGGGAGGGGGTTTGGGGAAGCTGAGGCTGCATAATCCGTCCCTCTACATTGCAGAAATCGGAGCCTGCTTCTCTCCTGCTCTGCTTCGGCAAAGAGACAATCGTTTTCTCTTCTGCGGCGCATTTCTGCTTTCCCCCCACGTTTGCAAATGCTCCAATGTATTTATTTATTTATTTATTTATTTATTTATTTAAATTTGTCCCCTGCCCATCTCCCCCCAAGACATACACACGGGCTCTGCTTCCTCTCTTAGCAAGCCCGTCGTTTTGCAAACATCTGGTGCAGGATCGGGAGGGTTGTGGCCCAGCTGCAAAGAGTCCGTGATGGAAAGCGGGCAAGACCTCTGCGCCGATCTCCGGCATTGGCAAAACCCATATTTTCAGGTCCTAAATACTCCTAAATAGCGGGAAACGGGTTGAATCGGTCACAAGGTGTTATTGTGCCTTTTAGGCAGAGAACAAAATTCTGCAGGGTGCTAAACCCTAAACCTGGGTTTGACAGAATGCCACAATTTCAGGAAAAGAAAATCTAACCTTAGGGAACGGAGAGAGGGTTTTCAAACTTTTTTCAGGCTGTGGGGCCTGCTTAAAAACCATCTTGAAATCCCTGATCAAAGGTCTAGTGATAGAAAATTGGGAGTAAAAGGAAGCTTTGATTCACGGTAATGTATTTATGCCAATGGGGATATTGTAGTTACTTGAGTTTTGCAAAAACGGGTGCCCCAATTAATGTCCTAAAGCGTCGCTTATTTTAGGTATAAAAAGTGAACTGTTTACGGCAAATGCAAAATCAACGTTTCCAATGCACAGAATTAAAGAATGTCATTTATTGGGAGTTTAATGTTTTAATCAAACAAATCAATGTTCAATGATTGAGATGAGATTGGTGTTCCTTTGAACAATTGCAACAGATGCCCTTGGATATTAAAGTCAGTTTTTTTCAACCTTGGCAACTTTAAGATGCGTGGAATTCTGGGAGTTGAAATCCACGCATCTTAAAGTTGTCAAGGTTGAGAAAATTCCACGCATCTTAAAGTTGTCAAGGTTGAGAAAATTCCACGCATCTTAAAGTTGTCAAGGTTGAGAAAATTCCACGCATCTTAAAGTTGTCAAGGTTGAGAAACACTAATTTAAGGGTTTTTTCCCCCCTAGCATCCCACAAAACCCTATCAATTTCTCACGGACCACAGTTTGAAAAACTGTTCTAGAGACTTCTGGTATGAAATGTTCTGCCTTTCAGGTCTCACCAGTCTGAAAATTCTGCTGGTTTTCTGGAAGTTAATTCTCCAAAGTGGAAGTAGTGTGATGTTTAGAGGAAACAGGAGAGGTCCAGAGGAGGAAAACGACATTCTAGAGTTCTCAGGAATGTTCCATTCCTGGGACTTTGGATTTCCCACCCTCTATAATTACTACATTCCAATAACAGGCTCGTACGATTAAACCATACTATTTATTCTGTGGTGGTCTCATCTGTGCAATGCGCCAAGGTAATATCTAGGTCCTTGCAATACACTGAAACACAAATGAAACACAAATGTCTTCATTAAAGGAAACCCAAATAATTTCCAAGTACAGTATAGTACAGGGGATGCCAGGTGTAGATTACTGTGAAAAAGACTTCGGGGTAATAATTGATTTCACATGTTGAGCCAACAGCGTGAAGTTGCTGCAAAAAAGGCAGACGCGGTTCTCTTATGTATTGGTCAGACCCCATTTTATGTCCTGGGCTGTGATGGAATGGTGTTATGAAGGCCACGCTCAGGGAGATAAGCGTTTCCTTAGCCCCCAGGAGGAGCGTGGGAAGTTTGAGAACTTGAGACTGGCACCACCCTAAGGAATTCACGGTGTTGTGGCTCGGTGGGTTGGGGAACTTGGGTTCGTCTGGGGGGGATCTGTTTTGTGGGTGGAGGGTAGAGAAGC